TTATTATAAATATAAATACAAAATTTTATTCTTGTAATTAAAAAACTTTTGGAATAAAATTGCTATAATAAATAATGAAGAAATTTATCTCAAATATAAAATGTTTAATATTGACAAAAGATAATTTAATTGAGTAATAAATTAGTAAAATAAAATTGGTTTAAATAATGGCTTAAAGCGAAAAAAATATTGAAACTCCAGATCAACGAAAAATCCCATGACTTATCAAATACCATCAGCTCGGTCATCTTGAGCCCTTGACCAGCAAAATTTTGGTGTTAATAACTATAGGTTTAGATAAAAAAACTATCCATAAAATATCACGCTATTAAGAAGTTATATGAATTCAAAAAATTTTTGGACGATGCAAAAAATACGAGCCACTGTATAGCATTATTAAATAAGTAGACTTTGAAAAGTTATTTATCGATTGTTTAAAAGGCAGATTGTAGAAGATAAGTACATGTCTCTTAAGTTAAACAAAATTGAGCAGTATTAAGCCAATTATTTAGCCAATTTGATTTCGCAACAAATAAAATTGATATGTGTCACATAGTTTTAGTAACACATGAATTCGTAACACGGGATCAGGATAGGGTTCGTGTAACTTATGCGTTGCATGAATCGCGGGATCGATAGTCATATAATATAAATAGGACAATAATCTCTAACGAGAAAAAATAGTAGTAGTTACGGTTTTAGACTTCGTAAAAACAACATGGGATTTGAAGGTGGAGAAGCAATAGAGACTCTTTTAACAAAATCTTACAGCAAATAATGTAATGTTTCTTTAAAATTTTATTATATAATGACAAATTAAATTGAATATTACAACATATATAGACGCTAAAGCTATATTGCTTGTAATATTTAATTGAATCACGAAGCCATAGATATATAAGCAATTACAGGGTAGGTCATTAAAATGTAATGAAATCAAAGGACATTTGTAACCAAAAAACATGTGGAATACACTATATAAACAAAGAAAATGCACAAATTTAGATAAGGTAGAAAACATAAAAACCAGAAAGAATATGATAAAAATAAAAAGAATCAAAAGAAAATAAAGTATTAGACTGAAAAACACAGGATGAGCTTTTAATAAAACATGAAGAACCAAAAATGTAAATATATATATATATATACAAAGTAAAAAATGATAATTACTATGAAAAAAAAAAGAAACAAAAAATGATTATATATTTTAAAATAATATCAAAAAGATCCTCAGCTAATGGCATGCCAGGGTGTCCTAAATTCATTACAAAGTAAGAATATACCATATCAAAAAACAGGTATATAATAAGTGAAATGTTTGTTGATATGTCAAAATTTCCGCGTGTGTTAAGTTCTACTAATAATTAATTAATGTCAATTTCCTCCTTCTCTATACTAATATGATAAAAATTTGCGCCAAAATAAAATAGCACATAGTTTAATCTTATTAGAATAAGATGTGGCGATTTTGTGATTAGAAAATCGTGAAAAATCAGTTTCTAAATTTTGAGACATCTTAAATTGTCAATTTAACATGGATTTACAATGAATTTTATAAGTTTTAAGGTTGCACGTGTTGCCCAACAAATTTTGCATACAAAAAATGCATCAATAAAGTAAATTTTATAAATCCTTCAATTTCTTTAACAATAATTTATGTGCCTAATACGTAATATGTAGAATTTACACTGTCGTATATATTATATGTATCTGATATTGTATAAATAAACTATTGTTAGAGATGTGTTAACTATAGTTAATATAAATAATATATATACTAAAAATAAGATTATCTCTATTGAAGCCACAAACTAATATAAATTCCGAAAGCAGTAATAGTGCAATAACCGCCAGGATCAGGTAAACCTTGATTATGTGGAATCGTATAGCCTTCCCTAGAAATCTGTCTCTATCAGTGTTCATATTTTTGTAAAGTAATTGGTATTTTATAAGCAAGTTTAACTATATAGATCTTCAATTTTAAAATATTTTAATTTATATAACAGAATAGTAGAGATGTTAATCGGTCCCATACCTAGAGGTATCTTACCTAGAAAGTGAAATTTCTACATATATTGTAACTATAGAACTATATATCAGGAACAGAGTACAAAGTACGTAGTGTATGGTTTACAGGCAACTAAGATATGCGTGTACAATTCTAGATGCTTGATTGGTCTGCATGACTCTGTTCATCACATATTGTTATGCATTGCCTATTTTTCGCATGCCATTTCACACCTTATACTGGTGGCGTGACTATTACACGTGTGTTTGTGCACATGAGCGTATAATATTTAATGTGAACAGTACTGTATAATCAACGAAAATATAACCCGGAACTACAGATCTTATAATAAATGATATTAAAAGAATTGCTTTTTAATATAAATACCGGTGGCCCGATGTGAATTTTCACATATGTTTATTAGATTTTTTGGAATTTTCATTTTTTTTCTTAGGATTTTTTATTGGGTTGATGAAATGATAATCACTGATCATCAAAGACTTAATCGAAAGAATTTGTTGATCATTTCTAAATACGTAGATATGTTTTGTAGATTTTAATGTTTTTTGCAGGGACCCAGGATTTTCATCGAAACTGAGTGATGCTAGCTAAACAACTATATAGCAGTCAGATATTGACTTCATTAATAGGTTTTTAGGCTCAGTCACTGAAATTCAAACCAATATTCAGATTGCAAGTACTAACAACTTCTTTTATAAAGAGTCATTTTCTTATGCCAGGAATGGATTGCAATGAAGAATATGGTTTCCTGTGACTGAAATGGTGTCTGCGTAGATTTCTCCCATTCCTGGTTTTGTGTGACAGCGTCGCGCAGCTACTTATATAATTAAGTATATCTGGTTATTGAAAGAAAACTAACCATACAAATTTTGTTAGAAATAGATAAAGCATTTTATAAGCTACGTTAAAGGGTTTTAAAGCATAAAGAACATTAATACATAAGAATATCAAAGATTTCCTTATTATAATAAACCATAGATCTTTAGCTATTATATTAGTTCAGTGCAGAAGTTATGTGATAGGCATTTAAAAAAATAGATACGTATATAGACTTTATTTTTTTGTTAAAGAATTAAGTTTACGAATATAATGTAATTTGATTGGTTGATTGTCACATGATACAAAGATGGCCAATCATAATGTGTTATTCAATTTTATGTGATTAGCCAATTACGAGAAAGTTATCGTGCACCAATTTGGCTCTGAAGATTCTCAATTTCGATTGGCTAAGAGTAAAGATCGAATGAAATCCTAATTTTACCTAGTGTAGGCCTATCTCCAAAATTTTCTAATTTTGAAATAAAAAATTATAAGCTTCTGGATGGAAATAACGTAATGCGAGCCAAATTGTTATCTATCAAGGATGTTAACAACTAGAATACAAATTTATCAGCCTGCGGACTTCACTATATCGAGTTTTAATTGTATATTAGCTGCTACTGATTTAGTCTAAAATATCAATTTATTTATTTAATTTTGGTTAATTTATTAACACTATATTTTAAGAGTTACAAGTTTAAACGGTGGGCTTAATTATCGATTTTTTTGTTAGATCCAAATCGAATTGGAAGATAATGCAAGAATTAAAAAATATAATAACCAAAACCTCTACAAAGAAACAATTAATAAACCAAAATTAATTACATTTGTTAAAATCTCCGATTTTTTATGAATCATTTCTTTTAATACTTTCTCTACTTCAAACCAAATTGATTACCACCAATTTGCGGGGATGTTAAGGATGTGTTTATATGAGGTAAATTTACTAATGCCTTTCCCGCGTCATTTCCAAGGATAAGCAAACTATGTATGACAAAATTGTGTGAATTTTACTTTTTTGTGTAGCAAGCAGGATTTAGAATAAACTCAGTTGTTTCTAGAGTGTCTAAAAATTGAAATGAGAAATAATTGGATAACAATATTAGAATTTCTTAAATATGGTTTTACTTTATATAAACCTCTCAGATTTAAGTAATTTAATTATTGTAATTTCATATATCATTATAGAGGTTTAAAATATTTTAAGTAAAATAATTATACGTTTAAATCTTGACCAATATGTAGGAGTGATGGTAATAACCCTTCTTTTGTGTACTAATTGGGTTTCCTTCATTGTTAACTAGAAGTGTAATTATACTTCTAGTCGTACCTACTTAACTCTGGAGAACCCATATAAACTTTTATTTCATATAAGATCTCAGCGGAGCCTTTCTTCACTGCAATAACTCCGAAAAGCTAAAATGTGTTTTCTTCACCGTAATCACTCTGAAAAGCTCGCCTCGATTCTTCTAACATTAATGAAATGCAAAAAGTGAATATCTGAATAAATTAAACAAAATAAACAAATTTTACTTTCCTCAAAGTTCCAATGATCAATTCCAATAAAGAATGAAAAACATATATTTGAGAATCGTATTCGGTAATCAATATTGGTGTAAACAACTAATAGTATTTTATTCGAAAAAAATCTCAAATACTATCAATCATCTATAACAATTACACAAGAAAGCGATTCATTTCTTTTCTTTAATTTGTTAATTTCTTTGTATAATATTTTGATTTCTTTGCGTAATTCTCTGATTTCTTCAAATAATTCCAAATTCTACATATTTAATAACAAAAAAAATATAGCATATAATACATATATTTAATATAGGACAGTCTAATCATATAAAACATACCCGTTTAACCAAGACACTATTTTCTTGCTCTAATAAACGACAACGTTCTATATAATAATCACTATTATTTTCTAACAATGCTACGTAATCTTCATTAAGAATAGCATGATTCATCAGTAAACTTTCATATGTACTGAGTAATTTTTTATGACTTTCATTTAATAACACGATTTGATCATTATTTTTAATAAGCTCGCGTTTAAGATTTGCAACCTCTATGTGTAAACTAAAAAAAAATTATCAACAAATAAACTCTTGACTTCAAGCAAAAATCATTTCAATAAAAAATATTACTTCTCAATTGTAGCTGTTACTTTTTCTTTTTCTGCTAAGACTTTTTCATTTAGAATAGTTTGGGTTAAACTAAGTTGACGTTAGGCAAACGTCCTAAAACTTTCCTGCAACTTCAAAATACTCTGACAACTTCGATCAAATACTTTTTTAACAGGATATCAATATTCAGTTAAGGGCAGATACTTTTCTTCGGCACGCGATAACTCGTTAATAAGTCTATCAATTTCTCTGCACGAATCTTCTTTATGTGAATCTACTTTAAACAACAAATTTTCAGCTCGTTTGGAATCTTGTTGATATGTTAATCCCAATAACGTTGTTTTGTGTATTTCTTTTACGTGATTATTAACTTCTGTATGACTATCAAAAGTGTGTGGGCAACCAGGACATTTGAATTTATTGCCTGCAGTTTTACGAAGTCTACCACCACTGAGATGTTGTCTTCGGGGTGGCATCTCGGTGATGAGATTAAAATTCCAGACAAAATGAATTAGTATTTATATAACATATAACACATAAGCTTATAATTATTTTTTATAACTTTATTTTAAAATATGTATTGCCAACTTAATTTAACAGTTTTCTCGATTCGTTTAAAAACCGGTTTATATATTTTAATATTTATAATATATAATTAAGTCACAGTAGAGTAAAGTCAGTTTTTCAGTTTATTCAGATACTATAGCTTATATTATGGAATTAACAGGTTTTGCAGAAAGTTATTTAAACTACTATATAATTTATTTAATAGATTACATAAATTTTAATACATACAGTATCGATATGGAATGTGTGCATTTGATAACTAGTTATTATATAATATTGTTTTAATGAACTAGGTATATTTTTATAATATAATGTCGATACTACATATTGTATCAAAATAAATTATGTAATAATATAACAATATAAAAAAGGTAAAGTCTGTGCTTAAATATATAGTACAACTACCATATAGAGACCAGTGACGTAATCCAGAGCTCTAACCTAACACCCTGATTACCCGGACCAAGTCTTTTCACGCCTAAATGGTACTTTTAAACCTACATTTGTATTTTGTATATATTTGTAAACCTGTTTTTTAACGATTTAACATTAAGAACTGGTAATTATAGTAATATACAGAAATAGATTAAAATTTTTTATTGCTTTTTTTATTTTATTCTTTATATTTATGTATTTTAATTTATTTTAAACATGTTCAAAATAAGATAATTGGTTCTATAATCATTATCTTGTTTACATGGAAATCATGAGCCGAAAACTGATAAATTGACAACTCTTATCTTTTTTGATTATAGAAGAAATATTCTTCTCTAAATATTAGGTAATAAATTTTCAACTGTGCTGATTACGTATAGAATTGAATGTAGAGAATTCAATTCGCATGTTATAGTTTCATAAAACACATTATTTCAACGTTAAGGGTTTTAATTCATTTGCCATGAATTTATCAGGCCGAAAGTTCAATTATAATGTCTTACGAATCTGATCAGAGCTCGGTTACAAACGGAGGTGAGAATATAAGTTTATTTCTGTTGATATGTTACGATTATAATGATCATAAATCTCTTGAATAAACGCGTTTAATTTATGACAAAATTAATGAACTATACGATATTTTTATGATAGATGAATCAATGACTCCAACAAACGATAATGATTTCAAATCATATAATAATAAGAGGCATGAATAATCTCTTATCAATTGTTTTGACTTTAATAAAAAGTTCCTAATAATTATCTCTCTTTTATAGTACTTCGAATAATACGTTGGGAATTTCTACGGCTAAAAACAATAGTTTATTCGATAAACCTTCTAGTACAGAATATAAACAAGGTTTATATAGAAGAGCCGTAAAGGAACTTAAGATTACAAAATCTTATAGTAAAAAGAAATGTAAATCATCGTTATATTTTAGTTACATACGAGAATACGTAATTCTTAGAATTTACTAATTAAAGCTATCTATGTAAGTACCTTTGATTTTGAACAAGCAAGAACACAAAGAACCTTTTTTGCTCAATGAAATCATTCATTCGAAGGAAGAATTGAAGGAAAAATTGAATAAAGGTAATATGATTTATGATTATGGTATGCGTATAAATTATAACATTTCCAATAAAAATTGATTATTTATTTTGATACTATATCAAGTTATTAAAGATTTGAATAATCGAAACATTCTACTAAGCCAGAATTGTACCAATTTGAACAATAAATTGGATGAAGAGAAAAGATTAAAATTGGAGACAATGTTGTCACCTGCATTACAAGATCCAACTCTTTGCGAAGAATTGAATAAAAGTCTAGAAGGTAATATGATTTATGATTATTGTATACATATAAGTTATATCATTTCTAATAAATTGGTTGTTTATTTTGATACTGTATCAAGTTTTTAAAGTTTTGAATAATCAAAATATCTGACTAAACCAAATTTATAACTATTTGAATAACGAATTGGATGAAAAGAAAACTTTAAAATCGGTAACAATTTTGTTACCTGATTTACAACATCGAACTCTTCGCGATGTATATAAATTGGGGTTATAATCAAATACTAACAAATGCAATTTTTTTGCGTTTTTGTGATAGCCATTAGATTAGGCCACACAAAGTTGATTTTTCATTTTGCATTACCCAACTGACCCTTTTTTTTCAATTTTTAAGTGCCAATTGTGTCAATTATTTGATTTTTGCCATTTAATTTTTTTCGACCGAGACCTTAATTTTTCAGAGTTGTCCGATAGGACCGACTGAAAATTTGAAATCTATGTAATGCAAAACTAAGAATCAACTTTGTGTGGCCTTATACTGTTAGATTGTTTTGACTTCATTAGAAGTTCTTTTTATCTTCATTTGAAAGTTCAAAAATAAATAAAAAATCTGTAAGGATTACGCAAGATGTTTAACAATATTCTATAATAATGAAGTAATTAGTCTACGCCAACCCTAAAGTTAATTCGACAAAATATTAATTTATAAGTTATCTTGCTTTAAACGTTCCCCATATTTGAATTGTAAAAATCCACCCATATGAAAAATTAGAAAAGCCAGTAAAGCACAATATGATTATAAATATGGAATCATGAGTAAAAATAATGGTACGGTGGTCTGAATAACCTCTAGTGACACGCTTCTTTATTTATTTTTTTCCTGAGAAAATTATAAAAGCACCCAAATACTATCTGCATGCAAATTTGAAAAATAGGATATAATCTGTTAAAATGTTTTGATCTCATAGAAATCAAACATTCAACCGTTATCAACTTTAAAGTTTACAAAATGAATTGCATTATCAATTTTCTCATCCAAGTTTTTACAACTATTGCACTTTTA